AGGAACTCTTCAAAATCAGTGTTCTTCTTATCATCCATTGCATTTTCTTGCACCAAGTACTGGGAAATATAGGAGGTTATCAAGCAAAGAAGCATTACTGAAAGGGCTGCCAAAGGTTAACAGGTATTGAATTGTCACAAATACCAAAGACCTGTAGATATCTACTCAAATTAAGTCAATGCAATCCAGTTCAGATTCTTATTCATGATAATCAGTAGATTATTCATGCTGGTATGTACTTCATTTTATACAGTATCATCTTACAGCACCTTATGTTGAGCATAAATTATTACTATTATTATTATTATACAGGATTTATACAGCGCCAACAGTTTGCTCAGAGCTTTACAATATAACGTCAGACGATATAGCAATAATACATTTCAATACAAAGGAATAGGAAGGCCCTGCTCCTCGGAGCTTACAATCTAAGATATAAATCTAAAACTAGAGATCCCATTTAAATTGTTCATGACACACTAGTATGTTTGATAAAGCTTACATTTTGTTCTGCTTATATATTGTCATCTCTCATTCCTCCTTTTCTTCGCATCAACATGCTCATGAACCTTTTAAATAAAACTTTTCTACTTTCATGGCATACCTAATTTAAAGCCAAGTGACATCATCACTGGGTTTCTGAGCTTCTCTCTGCAATGCTGGCTGACCATGACCCGTGGGAGTGACCGGCAGGGTGCTGTACATACCAACCTACCTCAGTGCTCTTATCAAGAGCCCCCAGCCTTGATACAAGCTCTTGAGAGGAGTTATGTAAATATCAAAGTGCCTTGGTGGATAGATATCAGTCTGGAAGAGTAGGTGTTCCCATGCACTCTGGTTATTGGTGATGCTGAGTGTCCACGATTGAAGGAACTGAAACCCAATGAATAAAAAGAGCAGGCCAGGGACTGCAAGGCTGGAGACAAAATGGTTCTGTCTGACCTAATGAAGCTTTTAATGCACACTGTGAGAAGCTCACAATGTATGGTGAAATCAGACCAAGCAATCTCCAGAGAGGAGCTTGTAGAACTTTGCAGAACTAAAGGTAAAGCTGAAGTTCAGCTTCAATACTCAGGACAGGGCTTAGAGTGTTTTTTTTTTTTTTTTTAAACACTTACATGTCTACCCCTTTTGACTTTTTTGTGGTATTTTTCTTAATCATCTGGTTGGAGATTTATGAAGACTTCTGACAAATGCAGACAAATCTTTCAGCTTAAAGGAAGATTTTATGTGTCTGAAAATTGATCCAGGAGTACTACAGACACAGACGCTGCAGCTGTAAATACATGTATGAGCCCCAATGGAAAAAATAGAATGTTCTTCAGACACAAATTGGCAGGAGGTGGGTGTAAGCATAGCAGTGAATCCTGGGACTTCCCCAGGGATAGATCTCCTTCCAGTTTCCAGTCTGTCCTGTGCTAAAGTTTCACATACAGCTGTCGCCCAAATTATATTTCATGTTACTACTGAAGAGATAGATTTTAGTTTGTCTAATTTTGCAGTGTCTTCGATCCCTGTCCACCTGACTAATTAAAAGTTTATATAACTAGGTTTACATTAACTACAAATGTCAGTTCACTACATTTATGTGAATTATTTGCAAGATTAGTGCAAATTATACCTCCGATCAATATCTGCATCCAAAACAAGAATATATCATAATTCAAGTTTATGTGGAAAAAATAGAGACCGTGGTGCTGAATTCGAGGCTAATTTAGTCAACATGTCTGCTGTGAGGAAGCTTATTTGCAAAGCTGGAAAGTTCCCTAAAACAGCCCATAGATGACTCAATTTTCTTTCCTTCCACCACGGGTCAAAACACTGCTGCTCCTGGATGCACTGGTCCTTGTGTTTTTTTTTCTGATGGTAAATGCTACTGCTACTAAAATCTTCTAAAAGTCTATGTGTGCATGGACACATAGGATAACATGGAGGGCCGTTTGGAAGTAGTAACAAAAAAAATGCCTGATGCCCCTAAAAGTGGCTGCAAAAAGCCCTGTGTGCATGAGGCCTTAAAGTGGTTGTAACCCCTTATACAGTGGGTATAGAAAAAAATGACCCCCTTGGATATATCTCAACCTTCGAGATTTGACCAGTCCCTTCTGTCGATATGAGGATGGATTTTGCTGGGATCACCTCGGAGCCCCCCCCCCCCCCCCTTTTTTTTTTTGGTGTTGTTGTTGTCCGTGTCTCTCTACTGTTTGTCTTTTCCTAACCTTCTGTCAAATCTGTCCTTAAACATATTTTTCGGATTGTGCTTGCGCTACATCTGCAATACTACCAATGCAATCTGGATTTCTTTGTAAACTTTAGGTTTTGAACATGTATCATTTTTTTGGAGAAGTCCTCTTCCCGTGCCTCTCCCGTTCTCTATAATGTTGATGTAGCAAAACTCCCCTTTAGAGTTTATATTATCATTGACCCACAAAGGTTTGTTAATCGTTCTCTCCCAACCCCTTCCCCCATCTTTTCCTACAGGGCACCTATGTAAACTTTTCAGCTTATGCCTTTTCCAGTGCATGCCTTGAATTAGCTTCCCCTCACCCACTACAATTTCTAATTGTTGGTCATTGAATCTATGTTCCGAATGTTTGTTTATCTTTGCTTAATATTCAATAAAGCTCTTTGTAAAAGAAAAGAATGACCCCCTTTAACCACCTCCTGCCCGCCATATAAGGCAATGATGGGCGCAAGGCGGTTATCTCGTTCTGGGAGGACGTCATATGACGTCCTGCCACTCTAACTGCGCATGCGCGGCTCCGGGAGCGCGCAGCACGGTGGTCGGCAGTGCGCTGTGTCCCTCGGACACAGCGGATCACCGATCAACGGAAAGAGCCGAAGATGTCGGCTCGGTCATGTGATCAGTTGTGTAGGGAAATGCCGGTTATTGGCATTTCTCTCCTCATGAGCTGTCACGCTGACAGCTTGAGAGGAGAGGAGAGCCGGTAATCGGAATTCCTCGGAGGGGACATGGGCACTGATCATCAGGGCACTGATGATCAGTGTGCCCTGATGATCAGTGTAGCCCCAGCAGTGCTACCCATCTGTGTCCATCAATGCCAGCTGTCAGTGCTCATCAATGCCACCTGCCAGTGTCCATCAGTGCCTCATCAATGCCACATATCAGTGCCCATCTGAGCTGCCTTTCAGTGTCACCTATCAATGCCAGTCATTGCCGCCTATTAGTGCTGTCAATCAGTGCCATCTATCAGTGCCAGTCAGTGCTCCCTATCAGTGCCAGTCAGTGCCGCCTATCAGTGCCCATCAGTGTTGCCTAACAGTGCCAGTCAGTGCCGGCTATCAGTGCCATATACGAGTGCTGCATTTCAGTGCCCATCATTGATGCCTGTCAATGCCCATCAGTGGCACCTACTAGTGCCTCCTTATCAGTGCCCATCAGTGCCACCTATCAGTGCCCATCAGTGCCACCTATCAGTGCCCATCAGTGCAGCCTATCAGTGCCCATCACTGCAGCCTCATTAGCACACAACAGTGAAGGAGAAAAACCACTTATTTAGAACATTTTTTTTAACAAAAACTAAGAAAAAACATGTTTTTTTTCAAAATTTTAATTTGTTGGTTTGTTTAGCAAAAAATAAAAAACCCAGAGGTGATTAAATACCACCAAAAGAAAGCTCTATCTGTCTCAAAAAAATGATAAACATTTCATATGGGTACAGTGTTGCATGACCGCGCAATTGTCATTCAAAGTGTGACAGTGCTGAAAGCTGAAAACTGGCCTGGGCAGGAAGGGGGTATAAGTGCCCTGTAGGCAAGTGGTTAAAATAATCACATTTTGTTGCTTTGAGGCCTGAAATGAAGACAGACATCATTTTTTTTATCTGTATTAGCAACAAAATGTGGTTATTTTAAAGGGGGGGGGGGGGATTCCTTTCTATACCCACTTTATATACTCAGTGAAATGACTGACCTCAGGTGAGAGACAGAGGTGAAACAAATCCTTCTACATATCTTGTACTTGTTATCTGCAGTCTTCTCTTTACATTCATTCAAGGTGCTGAATTTATAAAGCATGTCTGAGAGTTCAGAAAATAAAGGGACGGAGAGCTGAAATTACACACTATAGAGCTCATTGGAGGGACACACTCCCAGCTGAGGCTGTCAATTTGCTGTAGGTTCCTCCCGTCACCATTTTTCTCTGTGTCAGGAAAACTTGTCAGATGTGATTCATGCTGATAGAAGAGGAAGGAAGCAACAGACAGAAATTATACTTGCTTCTCTAAATTGAGACAAGTACACACTATAGAGGGATATGCATTGTTCATATTTCACGTCTGAGGTTTACAACCACTTTAATCTGACCAAACATTGAGTAATGTTCATCTGGCTCCTGATAAATGGGCTGAATTTCACTTGCTGGCCTCACTTTTTGCAATAAACATTTTCAGCTGACCTGTGGATGCATCCAATTGATCCAAATGAATGAAGCTGCTGTTTGTTTTTTTCTGCTAGCCAACCCTGGTGGTTGTCAAAATAGAGTAGCCCAGCAGCTGATTAACATGGATGGAGAAACATGTGTTGTCCTATTGATAGGATTCCAGAGACAGGCAAAAAATGTTTTGAAGGCCCAAGGGAACCTTATTTATAGAGCCTTTAAAGAAAGAAGTGAGAGATGACATGATTAATACCCATTTTATCATTAGCAAATAGGCATGCCAAAATGATTGTTAGATCCAGAGATATAACTTCTGAAGTTATACATTACACCTCTCTTGAACCTGCCTATTGGTCAGTGAGGGAACCTATCACAATAATGGTCCAATGAGAGGTCTTAGGAGGTTAACCCTAAGCATTTAGCATGATATTATTTATTGTCTTTTATACACTTCTGCTTTTTATACCACTTTATTTTTACAGCTCACTAGAATGCAGATAAACATTACTCGCTCAATGTTTTTGTCTGTTCTTTATCAAGGAAAGGATTGTAAGAGGTTCCAGGAAGCAACTTTATTTTTTTCCTTTTCTTATATTTTCTAGAACTTGTCTTTTTTAGTTTATGTAAGGAATTGAATAAAATAATATATGATTAATTTGCTTTTTGTTTTATTTCACAGGGCTTTATGTACTGATAGGAGCTGGTGCATTGATGATGCTGATTGGCTTCTTTGGCTGCTGTGGAGCTGCCCGTGAATCCCAGTGTTTGCTTGGGGCGGTAAGGGAAATTTTTCTGCCAATTCAGCATACAGTTTTTCATTTAAATAAAACAATACCAAACATTTCAAGTTCAGATGATCTTCAGGCAAACAGCAAATTACACACTTGAAGTACATACACCCATCAAGCAATTTATCGGAATACTATACAGTGGGTAAAATAATAATTTGATCCCCTGCACATTTTGTAAGTTTGCCTACTTACAAAGAAATGAAGGGTCTAAAATTTTTATCATACAGTCAGGTTCATAAATATTGGGACATTGACACAATTCTAACATTTTTGGCTCTATACACCACCACAATGGATTTGAAATGAAACAAACAAGATGTGCTTTAACTGCAGACTGTCAGCTTTCATTTGAGGGTATTTACATCCAAATCAGGTGAACGGTGTAGGAATTATAACAGTTTGCATATGTGCCTCCCACTTGGTAATGGGACAGAATAATAATCATAAATCAAACTTTCACTTTTTAAAACTTGGTTGCAAATCCTTTGCAGTCAATTACAGCCTGAAGTCTGGAACGCATAGACATCACCAGACATTGGGTTTCATCCCTGGTGATGCTCTGCCAGGCCTCTACTGCAACTGTCTTCAGTTCCTGCTTGTTCTTGGGGCATTTTCCCTTCAGTTTTGTCTTCAGCAGTGAAACGCGTTTCGCCCCTCCCATAGGGCATAAATTATTCGTGGTTGCCCTTAACTTAAACAAAAAAAAACACCTAAAAGTCCAAGTGTTAAACCTTGATAAATGATAACGCCCTATGGGAGGGGCGAAACGCGTTGACGCATTTCTGGTCCACACTCCATGCGCCTGACGTCATTTCCGGAGAGTGGAACGCACGCTGAGCGGTGCGTTCCAGCGGCCATCTTGGTTCACTGTTTGGTCTAAGAGGAGTCCTGTCTTTGTTCCACTGTGGATGTGATGTGAGAGTCCTGGAAGGAAAAGTTTGTATATCTGCTGGAACTGAAGCCTTTTATACATAATAAACATGCCTTTAGCAAGTGTTTAACATGTGAGTGGCCTTAATCTCCATTTGGAAAAAGTTACTATTGTGTGACAATATTATGCTATGTGAGTTTTTTTCTTTTGGTTGGATGGTGGAGTCTATTCGGAGGGTGAAGATTTTCCCTAGCGTGGCACCAAAGAGGGTTTAGGATCCCTAAAAATTCCTTAAAGGTCTTTTACTCACCAAGTTCTGGTGAGTGTATTCGATGTTGGTTTGTGCACGGGTGGAAGGTGAAAGTATTTTTTGAAGAAAAGAAGTTTGCACTTTTATTTCAACAATTTAATTATGTTTTCAGCACATGGACTTTTGGGTGTTTTTTTTAAGATTAAGGGCAAACACGAATAATTTATGCACCTATTTTATATGATTTATTATATTGATTAATCATCTAAATTTGCGCTGTTTATTTATATTTATATTGTTTGTGTTTTCACGATTGGCACAGCAGCATTTTTAGAGTGTTATTTGGAAAGTTTTGGCGCAGGAATACGTTTTTTCTTGTATAAATAAATACAAGAGAACCAGTTCCATTGGCAGCCATACATGCCCACACCATGACACTACCACCACCATGCTTCACTGATGAGGTGGTATGCTTAGGATCATGAGCAGTTCCTTTCCTTCTCCATACTCTTCTCTTCCCATCACTCTGGTACAAGTTGATCTTGGTCTCATCTGTCCATAGGATGTTGTTCCAGAACTGTGAAGGCTTTTTTAGATGTCGTTTGGCAAACTCTAATCTGGCCTTCCTGTTTTTGAGGCTCACCAATGGTTTACATCTTGTGGTGAACCCTCTGTATTCACTCTGGTGAAGTCTTCTCTTGATTGTTGACTTTGACACACATACACCTACCTCCTGGAGAGTGTTCTTGATCTGGCCAACTGTTGTGAAGGGTGTTTTCTTCACCAGGGAAAGAATTCTTCGGTCATCCACTACAGTTGTTTACGTGGTCTTCCTGGTCTTTTGGTGTTGCTGAGCTCACCGGTGCGTTCTTCTTTTTAAGAATGTTCCAAACAGTTGTTTTAGCCAAGCCTAATGTTTTTGCTATCTCTTTGATGGGTTTGGTTTTTTTTTTCAGCCTAATGATGCCTTGCTTCACTGATAGTGACAGCTCTTTGGATCTCATCTTGAGAGTTGACAGCAACAGATTCCAAATGCAAATAGCACACTTGAAATGAACTCTGGACCTTTTATCTGCTCATTGTAGTTGGGATAATGAGGAAATAACACACACCTGGCCATGGAACAGCTGAGAAGCCAATTGTCCCATTACTTTTGGTCCCTTAACACGTGGGAGGCACATATGCAAACTGTTGTAATTCCTACACCGTTCACCTGATTTAGATGTAAATACCCTCAAATTAAAGCTGACAGTCCGCAGTTAAAGAACATCTTGTTCGTTTCATTTCAAATCCATTGTGGTGGTGTATAGAGCCAAAAATGTTAGAATTGTGTCGATGTCCCAATATTTATGGACCTGACTGTAGGTGTATTTTAAATGATAGAGACAGAATATCAACTAAAAATCCAGAAAAAACACATGATACAAATGTTATAAATTGAGTTGCAGTTCAAGGAGTAAAACAAGTATTTGATCCCCTATCAACCAACAATAATTCTTGCTCCCACAGACTGGCTATGTGCTCATGTGTTACACAGATTAGTCCTGACAATTTGGGAAGGTGCGCCTAACGACAGCTTGTTATGTGTATAAAAGATACCTGTCCACAGAATCTCTTTCTTCCATTCAATCCTCACTATCATGGGCAAATGACCAAAGAGCTGTCAAAGGACTTCAGGGACAAGATTTCAGACCTGCACAAAGCTGGAATGGGCTACAAGACCATCAGCAAGAAGCTTGGTGAGGGGGAGACAACTGTTGGAGCCTTATTCGCAAATGGAAGAAATACATAATAACCACCAAATGCCCTTGATCTGGAGCTCCATGCAAGTTTTCACCTCATGGGGTAAGGATGAGCATGAGAAAAGTGAGGGAGGAGCTTATGAATGATTTCAATCTCTTTGATTGAAATCCTGCAGCACCCATGACGTCCCCCTCCTCAAGAAGGCACATGTACAGGCCGTCTGAAGTTTGGCAATGAACATCTAATTGATTCAGAAAAGGATTGGAAGAAAGTGCTTTGGTCAGGTGAGACCAAAATTGAGCTCTCCACTGTCTCTCTACTAAGGTAAAGGCTGACTTTGCCACCTTGAGGGGAAATGTACAGGGCCATGTATTGTAAAATCTTGGATGAGAACCTTCTTCCCTCCAGAACACTGAAGATGGGTTGTGGATGGGTCTTCCAGCATGACAATAACCCAAAACATACCGCCAATGCAAAAAAGGAGTGGCTCAAGAAGAAGCACATTAGGTCATGGAGTGGACTAACCAGTCTCCAGACCTTAATCCTATAGAATATGTACATGGAGGGAGCTGAAACTTCTAAGTTGCCAGGCGTCAGCCAAAAAACCTTAAGGATTTAGAGATCTGTAAAGAAGAATGGACCAAAATCCCTCCTGAGATATGTGCAGACCTTGTAACCAACTACAAGAAACATCTTACCTCTGTGCTTGCCAACAAGGGTTTCTCTACCAAGTACTGGTGACTAAGTCATGTTTTGCTTGGGGATCAAATACTTATTTAACTCACTGAACTGCAACTCCATTTATAACATTTGTATCATGTGTTTTTTTCTGAATTTTTGGTTGATACTCTGTCTCTATCATTTAAAATACACCTATGATAAAAATGAAAGACCCTTCACTTCTTTGTAAGTGGGCAAACTTACAAAATCTGCACAGGATCAAATAATTATGTTCCCTACTGTACTTATAGTGGGTTGAGCCTCCCTTTGCACTCAAATCAGCATCAGTCTTTCATGGCATGGATTCTACATTACTTCACTATTTCTTTGAGATTCTGGTTGACATGATTACATCATACAATTTCTGTTGTTAGCTGAATATTCATATTGCAAATCTTCCATTTTAGGACATCCCAAATGTGTTAACTACCATTTGTGTTCCTCAGGAGATATCCGGATTCATTAAGGCAGTGGCCTCCAAACTGCAGCCCTGGGGCCGGATGCGGCCCTTTCCTGCCTATATCTGGCCCTTGTAGAATTATTCCTGCTACTGACACCAACAATGAGGCATAATTTCTGCAACTGACACAAATAGTGGGGCACTATTCCTTCCACTGACAACAATGGGGCATAATTCCTTCCACTGATAACTATTTCTCCCCCTAATACCAACAATCGGACATTGTTTACTCCCACTGGGCACAATCCTGCTCCCCTAAAGTCTAAAGGACAGTAAACTGGTCCTTTCTTTATAAAGTTTGGAGACCCCTGCATTAGACCATACTCCGTATTTCCAGTCTTTACATGTTTGGTTTTGTTGAGTTTGTACCCACATTTGTCTTAGCTTTTTGTTCTTGGTTGACAAGAGTAGAAACTGACATGGTCTTCTGCTCTTGTAGCGTATCGGCCTCCAGGTTCTATGTGCTGTGCATTCTGAGATGATTTTCTACTCATCACAGTTGCAAAAACTAAGGTTTTCTGAGTTACCATAGCCTTTCTTTCAGCTCCTGTGTGGCTATTCTTCTCTGACTTCTCTCATCAAGGTATTTCCATCCACAGACCTGCTTCTCCCTTTTTTTGGACTGTTCTGAGTAAACTACTGTATAGTGACAATTATGTTTCAGCATACAGTAGTTTAATAAATTGCTTGATGAGTGTATATGTCAATTTCTTACCTGCTAATGCGTGGTACACACCATCATTTTTTTTGTTCATCCCAGCACAATGAACAAAGAAAAATTAAGAGCTCGGAAGGAGCTCGCTGTACTTTCGATCTAATGGTAGTACAGCAATCTCTCCGCCAGAGCACACCGGTCTGCACTGGCAGCCATTGGCTGCCAACACTGATCGGATGACAATTGGGATGCTGGTTCTCCAGCATGACCATTTGTCAGAAGCCCACAGTTTGGTCAGCTTCTGTCAGACAGGCTGGTGTGTACACGGGCCGATTGTTGGATTCTTTCTGTTGAACCGGACTATATTCAGCCGTGTGTACAGGGCTTTAGGATCAGCATGCTTCTTCCACTGTAGCACATCTGATTGGCTCCATCACTGAACAATGCTGCACATTACACTGCAGAAGGCTGATGTCAGGTCAAATTCAGGTACTTAACCTGCATTTAAAGGATCCATTTCATGATGAAATAATGAATATAAAGCTGTTTTAATTTGTAATTGTATATCTGCTGGAATTCAGATTAATAGTGTATGTATAGTCAAAACTTTTTTATTTTTAGTTTTGAATAGAATTGGGAATAGTTAAACCCTTGTCAGTGTATTGATTGCTGATGCAACAGGAAGTGACAGAGTCACTACAGAATAGGAGGAATCTCCCTCTGCTGCTACTATGGAGCAGCAGTCTTCTGGATCCAGGTCATGACATGACCGGCCTGTCTATACACCTCGCCCAATCAGAGAATGCCTTGCATTCCTTGAGAAAAATACAAGACTTTCTGTATATGGCAGCAGTACTGAGCGAGTATCTCTCTATTTTTACCATACAGAGTGCAGCCACTCATCACTGGACTCGGAAGCCTGCTGCTGTCACTGTAGTAGTGGTGACTATTACAGTGACTTCTATCTTCTACAGGGATCTTTCAGGTGTGAGATATGCATACTTACATTAGTCCAAGTTGGACCAATGTAACTAAGAAAGAAAAATCATACCTAACCTTCAACTTTAATATTTTGGATGCTTAGGAAGAGAGAAGGGTATTGTCAAAGTGATACATCTGAATGGTTGATTTAATGTTGTATACTGTGAGTTTTAAGAGAGGCCTCTGTACTCAAAAAAAAAGCCTACATTATAAGATATTTTAACTATGCATGTATAATCTATAGTATTTGTTTCAATTATACCATGGTAAATGTATTATTATGTACCATGTAAGATATTTGCTTCTGCTATGTGGAAGAAAACAGCCAACTTACCATACATAAGCATTTTTTTTTACTGGACTACAAATGATAGAAAATAATAAACCTTTAGATGGAGATGGAGACATTGTGGATTTGACTTAATGTAATTTTCATCTCTTTCAGTTTTTTGCCTGCTTACTTGTCATTTTTGCTGCAGAAGTCACAGCAGGAGTATTTGCATTTTTGGGCAAACAACAGGTAATAACAATATTTACTCTCATCATACAATTTGATCTGTAACAACAAATTTTCTTTCTCGTTTATTGAGGGACACAGAAAGTTTTTAACCTTTGGGTTATACTGCTTTCTCCAAGAGGATTGGACAATAGCAAACAAGAAAACTGTAAGCCAGCCCAGGATAACCCCTCTCACTACAAGCATGCTTCAGTTTTTTTATTTTCTCCCATGAGGACGGACATCTTTTTGCAGTTCTGCTATGTTAAAAACTAACTTATTTTTGCTAGCACTTTTTCTTTCCTCAATTCTTTCCTGAATCAATACCCCTCTTTATTTGGCACTGGATCTTTGTCTCTTCAGTTGCAGCTATGTGGCATGGTCTTCCTCGGGGTTGCTTTTGGAGTACTATGTATAGACCCACTGGACTGGTCGATGCAGAGATAGCCATAGGGTGACCTTTGGATGCTGAGTTTCATGTGAGGCACTTTCCAGACTCTGTTCTGGTAAAATTGCCTCAGCATTTTTCCTGTTTCTGAAGATTCACCTAGTGGGTAGGATGGGACTTACCTCACTTGTTTAGTCCATGAGTACCATAATTTCCTAATCCTGCTGGTTTTTGCCACATAAGGGGTTAATGCTGTGGGATTAGGCATTGGCATCATCCACTAGGTTAAGTGCCATGCACTCAGTGCTCTCTTTCCCACCATATAATATTGAGGAAGCATATCCTTGCTGCTGTTCCCAGCTGCAAAAAGCCACAAGGAACTCAAGTCTTTGACCTGTCCCTGTTGAACACCTACAGTGATTTGGGTCACCTTCAGCTATCCAATTATCAGGTGCTGCCAGCTGCCCAGGTTTTCTGTGTACTTGAGTCCTTGCCTCATACCTTGAGCCTACATATTGTCTTACCACCACATAGTTGCAACAACATGCTTCTACTAATGTCTCCAGGGCTGCTTGCAGTGCAACATCTGATGCAGCTGATGAGTGAAGCCTAGGGTCATGTTCTCCACATTTGGAGTCATTCCATCCTCAGAGTTCCTTTTTAACTTTGATGGGTGAGGCTGGGCCCTCTCGCTATTTCGAAGACCATACCATCTTTTCATTCCATCATATCTAGTCAGCCACACCTTCATTCAAGTTTTTGGTATCAATGATCAGGTTCCACCATTTCCTGTAAAGGCACACTCCACTGTACTCAGTCTGTGAGCAATTCTTGGGCTTTTCTGCCTCAAGCATCTGTTTCCCAGATTTGCATGGCTGCCACCTGGTCCTTTGTTTACATGTTCTTTAAGATCTACCAGGTGGATATTTCAGCCAAATCTGATGCCAACTTTGGGCCCTTTAAGCTGTAAGTAATCCCTGGTTGTCTAGTGTGTTCTTGGGCTTGTTAGCATTTTTTTTTTTTTGCTGTGTTGTTAATTCCTCACTTAGACTGCTTTTGGACTTCCCAATGGTCTAAAAAATCCTGTGTCCTCAATGCATACTGTAAGAAAAAAAAATTGAGGTATACTGGTAGTAGGAAGAGTTATCCTGAGCTGGCCTACAGTTTTTTAGTTAGCTAATGTCCAATCCTCCTGCAGACAACCGTTTAACTTGAAGGCTCAAGATTTTCTGTGCCCCTCAATGAAAAAAAGAATTTTGGTGGGTACAAAACTCCTATTATTTCAGTGCACTTTTATTTTAACAGGACATCATACATCTTAATGTAAACCTGAAAACCACAATGTAGCTTAGCCACATGTATCTGTTCAAACTTTCCGTAACCATGATGTAGCTAAAATTATACTGACAGTTCAGCACATGTTCAGCTTAGTGGTTATCCTGCTTTTGGCAGGCACTCCTATATAGGTACACGCTACACTCCTGTAATATTTTGGTGGGGGTTTCCCCAGATCCCTGATGTTGCTGGATTGTGGCTTTCTACCACTGACACAAAGGATAGCACTGTTAATGTTGATAATGAATTTCACTGAGCATTATTAAGGTCATATGTACTTTTTCTTAAAATAGGTTGTTGCTGATTATTGGAAAAGCGTGGTGGGGAGAGACAAGAGAATAGAGAATTGGTAGTGTACAGTAGTGGGCTACAGTGAGCAGCAGCACAGACGCTATAAGAAAAAAACACTATTATCATTCATTCCTGAGATCCTTCTCAGCATTCAACAAAAGTGTTAGGGAGAATCCTGTGTCCTCACTATCATATACAAAAATGTCTGGAACAGGGAAGTTAGAGGCAGGGACAGGGCAAAGAGTGTCACCTCTGTAGGAGACAAGAGCAACTCTCAGAAGTAAGCTCTCATCCTCAGAATGGCAAGCCAATGCAGAGAGTTTGGGACTGGGAGTAAAAGGACAATAGGTTAGGAAAGACATGTTATACATTAGCAAAGTGTACCTGCTAGGGGAATAATCCATCCAGAACATACAGAAGTGATAGTGGACTTTATAACTTTTTGTGGGAGTCAGGGAAACTGGGTAAGAGTAGAAACGGGGCTCCAGTTTGGAAGAAGGGATGGATGTGGGGCAGTAGAGATGACAACAGGGACATCCAAAGAGCAGGGTGTCCAGGTACAGTGACCCATCAGAAGTATCAGGTAGCAGCTGCTTGCAGCAGACCAATAGTGGGTGTGCTCAGTGAAGTCATGCATTGCCACTAATTGCCACAAAAATGAATCTGCCATTTTTTGTTGCTGGCAGCAATATGTGAGTGTGCACCCTGTGCTTGGCAAAGGGTAGGTCGAGTGAGACTGAGGGATATTTGGGCACAATATCTCTTATTGCCCATATGCAGCCTTTATGAATTTTCACCTGTTCCTCCAGAATCCTTAAGTTGCCTCTACAGTTACTATTATGTAAGCATGAATATCCCAGAACTGCCAGTAGGTTTCACCCCTTCTATTTTAAAGACTTCTAACTTTGTATCCTAGGAGTTTTTTCTAAGTTTGAATGAGTGGTCGATTTTGATTGCGCACCTATGCCTACTGCCTTTGTGACCTTGCCGCCCTATGACCCCTGCAACCTACCAGGCCTAAAAGCTCAGAAAAGTATTAGTTTTCCTGACATTTCTGGAATAAGTGTCTTAGACAATTTTTTTCCCCCAGAAATAAAGAACATACATGTTTTCTAGGAGTTTCTTCTTTTTTTTTTTTTTTTTTTAATAATTTCCCCAAATTGTATTTCAATTTTTTTCCAGCATCTTGTCAGTCAGGACTTTCAGAAGCTTCCCAGGCTGTTTTGCACAATGTCGCATCATTTCTTGGTTTGTGTTAAACTGTGATAACCTTCTGAGATCTATCTAAGCTGCATAACTTCCCGAACAACTTAGGCCAATGCAAACATGGGGCTGGACACGGCTTATTTATGTACTTAGGAAGATACTTAGGAAAAGAATGTTTATTCATTTTTCTAATCATTAATGGGGTCAAATTGTTGTATGAATTTTCTCATCACTGCGGTTGAAATTAAAGGAGCAAGATGGGAAACAATTCTTGAACAAATTCATTTCTAATGGTGTGTGTGGTTTTCGTTCAGTAAAGTCCATTCATTCCAACATTGAATGTCAAAAGCAACAAAGTTTTTCAAACGACATTGAATGTTCTGGGAATTTTCAGACAAATTTTCCTAAGACTTTTCTAACAATTTTTGTTAGAAAATCTATCTATCTATGGCCAGCTTAACCGGTTCTCCACCACCCTATAGCAGAATCATATATATATATATATATATATATATATATATATATATATATATATTTATATACATACTGTACGTGATTTTGCATTTCCGGGTAGGGGGCACGCGACACCATTGGCGGCTACAAATGTCGAGCACCTGGTCCCGGACGGACTTGGAACCCAGTGATCGCCGAGGAACAGTGAAAGGGGAGAGGTCTGTGTGTAAATAACACGGATCTCTCCCCTGTCAGCACCAACATGCTGCTTTGTATTGCTCTGCATAGCAGAGCAATACAAAGCAGCATGTTTCCCTAGTAAAACACACACAGCACACACAGTAAAACAGCACGTAGCACACGGTTAACTTTTTAATCGCTCCAGATGTTAACCCCTACCTGCCCAGTGTCATTAGTACAGTGTCAGTGCTTTTTATTAGCACTGATCACTGTATTAGTGTTATTGGGATGTCAGTGACAGTTAGTCAGTTCCTCCCCAGTGTCACAATGCCTGCCGCAGTCCCACAGTCCCACTGTAAGTCGCTGATCGCTGCCATTACTAGTATAAAAAAAAAAAAAGAAGAAATTCCAGTATATATATCGCCATTTGTAGACACTATAACTTTCATGTAAACTAATTAATTTACATGTAGTAGGATTTTTTTTTAGCAAAGACATGTAGCAGAATACATTTTGGCATAAACTTGTAAAATAATGTAATTTTTTCATTTTTTTTTACTGGATATGTTTTGAAGCAAAAAGTCAAAAATATAATTTTTTTTCAAAATAGTCAGTCTTTTTTGTTTATAGTGCAAGAAATAAAAAACACAGAGGTGATCAAATACCACCAAAAGAAAGCTCTATTTGTGGGAAGAAAAGGAGATACATTTCATTTGGGTGCAGCGTTACATAACCTGCAATTGTCAGTTAAACAAAAAAATGGCCTGGTTAGGAAGGGGGGTAAATCCTCTGGAGGGCAAGTGGTTAAAAGCTTCACTTTAGGCTGGATTTACCCTGTTATTCTGCCTGTTAACTCTGTTGTGTTCGGGCAGCCTATGCATTTTAATGGACTGCCTAAAAGACCTGGTGCATTCGCTATTTATTATAACACAAGTGTGCTGCTGCATGTTGTGGTTCACTGCAACACAAGTGCACTGGGGTGACTCTGAGAATGAATGGCGTTACAGCGTACCAACACGCGTATTATGGGTTGCGGTAACACGAAAGACAATACGCACATTAACGGAAAGCAGCAGTATAAGGATTTGTGTTCCCCAGTCTGGAGCACAACACAGTAAGGCTAGTTGCAGTTGATGAGTTTTTCTAGTGCATTTTGTGTTTTTGAACATGCCTTTTTTACACTTTTTTATGCGTTTTTGTGGTTGCTGGAGTTTTTATTGGCTAATAGGAAAGTATGACAGTTCTGTTCATATAGTGTGACTTTTATGTGACGTTGATGTGACTTTACACTCTTTGGCACTCTCTCTTTAACAAGTCACATCAAAGTTGCATCAAAGTAGTGCAGCAACCTTTATGTGTCCAAAGTCGCATGTTAGGTTTAAGGGCTAGGGTTAGGGTCAGGGGCGGACTGACAACTCATGGGGCCCCTGGGCAATAGGGGATCATGGGGCCCCTGTGTCCTTGCCAAAACTCAAAAAAGCCTATGAAAAAGGTACCAGGGGCAACTCATGGGGCCCCCTACTGACCCCGGGCCCACGGGCAGTGCCCGAGTTTCCAAATGGTCAGTCCGCCCCTGTTTAGGGTTAAGAGCTAGGGTTAGGGTAAAGGGCTAGGGTTGGGGTTAAATGTTATGGTTAAGGTTAGCCCTTAACCCTAACCCCAACATTTAACCCTAACCCAAGCCCTTAACCCTAACCCCAACATTTAACCCTAACCCAAGCCCTTAACCCCAACCCTAACATGCGACTTTGGACACATAAAAGTTCCTATACTACTTTGATGCAATTTTCATGCTACTTGAGTGCCAGATAGTGTAAAGTCACATCAAAGTCGCACTTCATGAACGAAGCTGTCTTACTTTCCTATTAGCAAAAAAAACAAAACACCAAGCGCATCAAAAACACAACATTGTGTTTTTGCTGCAGGTCCATTGAGGTCTATTACATGCAAAAGTCCCCGATCCTTTTCATAAAATGGACTTGCTGCAAAACAGACAGATGTGAACTAGATCCATAAGAAACCATGTTAAATGGACTGTAGTGCATTTCTGCAACTGGAAACCGCGCTGAAGTTCGCATAAGTGTGAACCTAGGATAAAATAATGTAGGCAAGATAAGTAAGAAAGATGAGGATGGTAGAAGAGATTTTTGGGATGAGAGGGTCATAATGTATTTCAAATCTATAGTTTATAGCTTGTAGTATAATCAAGTCATCAAATCTATGTCTCAGTTCCATTTAGCTGCTGTACAAGAAATCGTTTAACTGCATTGTGAGTGCCTATTAGGTTGGTGATCATCTGTTCAGTATGCACTATGCATTTGATATTATCTGTTATTTTTCAAAATCGATAGTTTAACAAGTCATATCTTCACAATAGAACCATGTTCAGAACAGTCATTTCTAGAAATATAGCTAGCTGCTCCCCTATTTATTTGTGAAGTGTTTGTGTTTTCTTTCAACAGACAATTACAGATGCTCAGCAATTATACACTAAGGCCTATGAAGACTATATAAGAAAAGGAGGAGGAAATGAAACTCTGCAAGATTTTCACACATTTGTGAGTATAAAACGTATGTTTGTTATAGTGGGAAAATTAAGAATACCACATTTTGAAGATACGCATACTCTTGAAAATAACTACAGTAGATTAATTTGGTCTCAGAATTGACATACAGGCGTACCTCGGTTTACGAATTTAATGCGTTCTGCGGGACTTTTCGTATTGCAAACAATTTGTAAACTGAAACGCAGTTTCCCATAGGAATGCATTGAAAACCAAGTAATCCGTTCTGGAGGTCAGAAAAAATTAAAAAAAAAAAGTCTTTTATCTGTTTAAAACTCTTTAAAAAAAAGTGCACTTTAAAGACATAAATACTGTACAGGGACATGATTAGAAATCAATTAATAAATGTATTGAAAACCAATGAATCCATTCCGGAGGTCAGAAAAAAGTCATTAAAAGTCTTATCTGTTCAAAACTCTTTATAAAGTGCACTTTAAAGGCATAAAAACTGTAAAGGGACATGATTAAAACAAAATTCGTAAATGCATTGAAAACCAATTAATCCATTCCGGAGGTCAGTAAAAAGTAAAAAAAAGTCTTATCTGTTCAAAACTCTTTATAAAGTGCACTTTAAATGCATTGTACTGTACAGGGACATGATTAAAAAAAAACTAGTAAATGCATTGAAAACCAATTATTCTGTTCTTTTTGCAAAAAAAATTTGTAAACCAAAGCATTATTTTCAATGGATTTTCATTCGTAAACCGAAAATTACATTAACTGAGGCGTTCGTAAACCGAGGTATGCCTGTACTGTATTTTATACAACATACTGTACTTCTGTCGGTTACATTTCTGGAGAAATGGATCCTGCCTGTTCGAAAAATATGATTCTGTGGGAATAATCTATTAAAGCAGTAGAGGTTGTCCACTTGTATTGCCACTCAAGTGAAAGTTAGTATGTAAGGTGAAACCATGCTCATGTTGTGTTGAATGTCCAAATACGTGCTAGCAAAAAAAAAAACTGTTTTTCGCTTTCATTTCCCGCGCACGTGATTGGGTATTCAAGGCCTATTTACACTGGCCCAGTCCACTGTAGTGTATAATGTACATTGCATTTGGGAAACCTGTTTACTTTAATAGGTTGTCTGACACACCAAAGCAGACCAAAAAACATACATACAGCATTTTCAGCAGCTCACTGTGCAATGCAGGCACATGTGAAGGTGTTTTAGGTTGCCATTCAAAATGAATGACACCGTAATGCACCAATGCACATAATGCAGTAGTGTGCATTGCAGTAATTTAATTTTTATGATTTTTATGGTAAATGATAATAAATTTCTTATTCTGATCCTGAGTGCCTTATCGCAGCACACTGATGTGAATTGACGCTCAAACTGAACACGGGTTCACCTTATTTACCAACATTCATTTTGCAAAGTAAACATTTTCTTTACTGATGCTACGTTTACATATATGCGGGTGCAGGAATGCATGTAAATCGCTAGCAACAGCACTCAAAATGCTATAACTCCTAATGGCACCCCCATGCACTGCAAAAACATGGTTCAGATTGGAAAACTCATGGTGCAGAAGCACCATGTAATTTCAGCGCGGCTATGTTTTAATAAATGTGCAGGGACCTTTTTCCTGAAAAAAACGCAGGCAAAGCAACCTATTCAAATGAACATTTGACATTTGCAATAGTTGAAAAAAAAACACGCAAACAATGTAAAATATAAATATAGAAGCCTTTGGTATTAATTGGTCATACTAACTCTTAGGTGCGACCAACCAGAATTCTGCTGAAGTTGGGCCAATGAAAGGTTGATTCTGGTTGTTTGCTGTGGGTTGCTGAATATAACATATCATCATAGCAGTCTTTACTAAATAAGGCTGGATTCATCTATATCTAGCTAGCTAGGCCTGTAAAAAATGGAAACGTTCTATACCATCTGGTTGACAGCTTGGAAAGGCATTATTTCCAATAAAATTCCTTTGTTAATTTATTTTACGATGTATTTTTTTAGGCAAAATGCTGTGGAAATGAAGACCCCCAGAGTGCACAGCGTGTAAGCAGCTTGTGCTTAGAGGAGCATAAAGAATACAAGGTAGGATTTTTATGTACTGCAAGTCATACTGACTTCAGGTTGTACAGTATGTTACCAGTGGTGCTTTGGAAATTATCTGTGCTTTTAGGAATTACATAATCAGTGAAGTACTCTGGTCTAGCAGCCAGCAGGCCGGTGCTGTCAGTTTTTGGCACTGAAAACAAGTAAAACTCATATTTCTGTGTGATAATGTGGGGCAGCATAGTGGCTTAGAGTTTTTTACCACTTCTGCCTTGTAGCACTGGGGTCATTGGTTTACATTTTAACCCTGACATATATTACATGGAATTTGCATGTTCTTCCTGTGCTTCTTTCAAAGACCTGCTGGTAGATTACTTAACTCCTGTCTAAAGTAGCCCTAGTATATGTATGAATTCATGTGAGATAGGTACCTTAAATTGAAATCTCCTTGAGGGCAGGGACCGATAAAAGTTATAAAGGCAAAAAAGCAGTAAAGCATGATCCAACTTTCTCCTACCGGGGAAAAAAGTATTTCCTGATCCCCTGAGAGGCAATCGGATATTCCTTGGATCAACTTGACCTATAAATGTTAGTATCCAGTTATATTCTGTGTATCCAAGAAAGAATCCAGGCCTTTTTTAAAGCAATCCACTGAGCTGGCCACAACCAACTCTTGAGGGAGTCTATTCCACATTTTCACAGTTCTTACTGTGAAGAAACCTTTCCGTATTTGGAGATTAAATATCTTTTCCTCCAGACGTAAAGAGTGCCCCCCTTGTCCTCTGTGATGACCTCAGGGTGAATAACTCTACACCGAGTTCACTATATGAACCACTGATGTATTTATACATGGTGATCATATCCGCCCTTAATCTCCTCTTCTCAAGAGAGAATAAATTCAGTTCATCTAATCTTTCCTCATAGCTGAGCTCCATCATGCCTCTTATCAGTTTGGTTGCCCTTCTCTGTACTTTCTCTAATTCCCCAATGTTCTTTTTGTGAATTGTTGCCCAAAACTGAACTGCATATTCCAGATGAGTTATTACTAATGATTTGTACAGGGGTAAAACGATCTCTGTCTCTGTAGTCTAAACCTCTTTTAATACAAGAGAGGATTTTGCTCGCTTTAGAAACCGCAGCTTGGCATTGCATGCCATTATTAAGCTTGTGATCTAACAGAACATCCAGATCCTTCTCCATCATTGATTCCTCCAGTTGTACCCCCCCCCCCCAGTATGTATGATGCATGCATATTCTTAGCCCCCAAGTGCATAACCTTACATTTATCAACATTAAACCTCATTTGCCACATAGTTGCCCAATTAAACAGTGCATTGAGGTATGCAAAGGAGCATGATATCGGCTGGAGAGAGCACAATAATCTGGCAAAAAAGAAGTGTAAAAACATGGCTTAAATAGAAAGCTCATGGGAGGAGCAAAATGTTTGGGGTTCCCCAGACACAAGGTATAAGACACGATTATCCAAGGGTTCTGACAGGCTGTTATGCAGCATCTCAGGTGACTGAGCAAGAAGAGCCACTACTGAATGCAGCTGAGGCCATGAGTTCAGATCCTGGTCCCACTCTCCTCTCTGCAAAGCTTTATATGCACTGCTGCATTGTTTAGAAACCTCATGCTGACTTTTTTAAGCCACACCTACACATGTGTAGTATGGCCCCATAAAATTATATTGGGCTTGTAGATGGGTATACAAACTGCAAACGTGCATATAGATTGAAGAAGCCAACACAAGGTAAGCATCCAATGCAGCAGACCATGACAGAGGGATTAGTATAAATTTTGGGGGGAAGTGGATGCGTAAAAAGTAAAAGTAAAAGGTTTCTTTACTCCTTAAAGGATAAGTTCACCTTTTGGACAAAAATAATAAATGCTGATTTTGATTTTGCAGGAAAAAAATGTGTATTTATTATTTTTTGTCTGCAGGAGCCTGGAAAGTATTGCACCAACAATTAGTAGATTGCTTATGCCATGCAGGCCTCCTGCATACATGTCAGAATATCTGCTTGCCATATGAGATGTACGGTCAAGTAGATATTCTGAAGCTTCAATGAACTACCACAGTGTTCCCCCCGTACTATCTGCCAGAGGGAGGGGGGGCAGGCGCAGCTGCAGCTATTGGAACATGTTACATGTTCCACCATAAAAAATGGGTGGAACATGTAACATGTTCCCAAAGGTGAACTTATCCTTTAAAGAATATCCAAACCCAATGACAAAATTGTGATATTGCAAATCACCAGTCCTTATATGTGGTGGCTGCATTATTGTTCATTTTTCAGGAAGTGAACATTTTCAGCAAGCTCAGTAAAAAAAAAAATTGTTGCTCTTGCCAAAATTTCCTGTAAGTTGAACTGGAAGCACAAATAATCTTATCTGCATTCCAAAGTGTCTTCTCCCTGTGTCATAGAGATAAATAATACTAGTTGTGGACAATAGAAAACAGAAGTTTATAGATCTGACTTTTTGCCAACCCTTTTGGTATTTACAGTATAAAGCTGTACATCAGAACTGAAAGTTGAACAGTGACAGTGGCTTTGGGTCCATAAGAAAGCCAATAAGGAATAATGTAATGGAAAGGTGTCAATGTATAGCTGCTAATAAAAATCATTCTTGAAAAAAATGTCCTCCACTAACATTTAAAGAAATAAACAGCCCTACAGAAAGGCTGTAAAGTAACGCTTTGAATTGAACCCAAGCAGAGTAGTTAATGGTACAAAAATTGCTTTATTGTGAATCTCGCAGAAAAAAATGTATGAAGCCATGCAAGGTGAAAAATACACATCAAAATAATAAAAACTTGAGCAATCCAGATTGCAGACGCCTAAAGCTGGTAAATGTACTCAGCATCATGGATACGCTCCATAAATTTAATCCATTATTCACAGAAGTGGAAAATACCACATATCTAGGTAAATTAATTATGATATGTCATTGTTAAATGAAAACATATGATCTTAATGGCGTATTGCTTGGGCAACAAAAAATGATATAAGTTCTGATCATCCAAAAAGTAAAATGATAGGATCATGCAAACCCCACAGAACAAAAAGTAATCATGTAGGCCCATGTGCAAGCATTATCAAATATGATGAAATATGGCACCATATAATCACAAGCGACAACAAAATTGACCATATGTTATACATATGACTAATAAGCCTGGTCCCATTGATGGATTACCATAGACTGACAATATATCATGTCTGTCATTTTGTAACCTGGTATAGAATAAAGCATAGCATTTGTATGAAATAGTACCAATCATCCCCAAGTAGAGAGGTAGTTTGATAGACAGGTACTAAATCCATACACCAATCTGCAATTCAAACTGACCAGCATGAATGAATATAAGTAATGAAGATCTACTGTAGTGGTAATATTGAAAATAAAATGTTGCAGGGATTGATCCTACAAATTTCACTAACATTTAGGTGTCCGTTTATGAACCAGCGGTAATAGATCGCTGCTCAGTTCTCCGGCATTCTCGGAGAACACAGTTCTCCTGTGAATGCAGTTTATGAAGCAGTTCTCCGAACGAAGGAAGAACGGTCTCCAAACGCTGGAGAACGGTCTACAAACGGTGGAAAACGACTGATTTTACTATAATCTCGCGAGATTACAGTAAAAGATCAGTTTACTAAACAGAGGTAAATTATCTCTGCTTAGTTTTCGGTCCCTCCGATTCTCCAGCTCTGGGCTGGAGAATCTGGAGGGAGAACACACAGATCTCCAGAGAAGGGCTGAACATATTCTCCTGGGTGTTATAAACTGTGAATGACCAGAGAATAGCTGTGATCCTCTGAATCTCAGCTATTCTGTGTGTCATAAACAGACACCATAGTCCTTAATGGTGGTATGGAAAGTCAAATGTTGCAGGAATTGACCCTGTAAGTTTCATGGACACTTAGGCCTTAAGTGTCTGTGAAACTTAGGGTGTCACTGCTGGAAAAAGCCCTTTGTTACCTCCAGGTAACACTCTATGAAAGGAGGAAGAGGAGTTCACTGCCTTTTCACACATGAATTGGACATTTAAATGTTAACGGTGAGAACCTTGGAAGAAGGACTTATAGTATGAACTTTCTACGCACTGTGATAAGGCTTTTGTTATAATACATATTTGGACGCTGGGTTCTTGTTCATATTATAGCTTCCTGGGGGGAAGTAATATCCTGGCGACCGGGGATTTCTATTCTTTTTAAAATTTTATTTAAGTTGTACATTTTGTACATATTTGGAGATTGGTGATTGAGGCTTTTCCTGGGTGTGGATTCAGCATACAGTGCAAAATAATCAGCCGTTAACGGCTAAAATTTTAGATGATTTCTAGCAAACTTTTGGCAAACAATACACTTTACTGAACTTCTAATATGTGGAAAACATTTTAAAAATAGAATAAGCATTAGGTACAGATGAAAACATATTTGAAATGTTGATAATAAATAAATGCGATTAGCATATAGAAAGTGTGTTAAAATGATCTTTGGTGAAGAAAAAAAAAAAAAAGACGGGTCAGGTGAATCCCTTTTCTGACCAGTGTGTTGATCCAGCTTTTTACCCCTTTGTTGCTCTATTTGGGAGGAGGGGAGGAAAGGAATGTGATCTGTCACTTTGAACTGTACAGTATGATTTGAGCTGTCACATTGAACTATTTTACTCAGCTGTTGTGGTCAGATTTAGGCTGGAGATTAAAAGGACCAGTGGCACATGCAGCTAGTGCTGGTATTTTCAGTTCACATCAGACCTCTTAGTATGCTTTAACTAGAAACTATTTGTCTTTGTGTAAAGTGCTACAGTCAGGTCTATAGTATTTATTTACCCATCATTTTGCCCACTGTACACCTAAATGATTAAGCCTTTTTGTAAATCTCTGTGCCTTATGCCACATGATTATTATAGTAAAATTAATGGATGGATCACTTAGTGTTTCTCTCATCATTTACTAATATACTTTCAGACCTGCTCCTGAGTTTTTGCCCTGCCCAGCACCCCATAGTTTTGTAAGTAATAAATATCCTGACCACATCAGTCTTCTGCTGTGCATGTGTGACACTTGGCTCATTGAATCCAATGGCAGGTCTATGGCCCCAGAAGGAATATGGCTCTAGTCATAAGAATGAATTAGCTAAACACTGAGTGTACTATTTTGCTGGACATAGCCAGGACTTCTTTTTGAAAAGGCTATGTGGTGCTGAGCTGTGCTGGAGGTTAGTCTTTTGGTAGGCAGTTGCCACTCAGAGAGAGGTGGGGAAGCTTTTAAAGGACTACTTTACTAACAGTGAAGGTCTCCTTCAATAAAAGAATATGTTATTAGAAGCAGCATGGGATCTGATTTACATGCAGAACTACTTTTCACCTAACAGGAGAAGAAAAATATATATTTCTAAGATATAAAGAACATTTGTTGGCTTGGTATTGCCTTATTATTTTCTATTGTGGAAATTTGTCCTGAGACCCCTGATCATTTATCCCTGTATCCTGTCAATCCAGGACAAGTAATGTGGAGAACTGGGGTCACTTATATATTCTTTGTATGATTTATAATTATTTCAGTGGGCCTGCTTAATGCCATTAACCTCCCTGGCAGTATTCCCTAGTGTAGCTCGGGGTAAGGTTTCAGTACCACAAGCGGTAACCCCGAGCTACACGCGGGCTTACCATGCAGCGCTGCTCCGCGATCCCTCGATCACTTACCTTGTCCTGCACTCCCGCGATGTCCCTCCTGCAGTGTCCCCGGCAATGTAATCTGGTGGATGCCGGCATCTCTCATCTGGGTTCCGTCCCCTGCGAGCGTCGGGATGTACAGGGGACGGAACGGCGGGAAATTTGAAAATGACAAAAAGTGACATTCACTAAAATCAGTAAAATCACATAGTAAAACATTACTGTAGCAAACCATTTCACATACATTTTGTCCCTAGTGCTTTGTCCTGTGCCCTGCCTGCATATTTACTGTTCTTTCTGCCTGGAAACTGAGAAATGTCCATGGCGTCCAAAAAACGTTGCTTTATGTCAAAAGCGGCTTTAGACCAGCTAGAATACAGTGATAGTAAATTAGAACCACTTGCAGAATTGAGTGATAATGATTCATGGGGCAATTCGTCATCAGACACTGAAAACGATTTTGTGACTTTGTTCAGTGATGTGCAAACTTGGAGCTATTTTTCAAATTTCAGTGTTTTTGGTTCGATTATATAATTGAATTAAATTATATAATTGAATTAAAAATTTATTATTATTATATTATTATTTTTTTTATGATTATTTATTAAATTATAATTTATGATTTCGTGTTTCAAGTTTTAACATACCCGGGATGTTTACTAGACTCTTGTTCGGACAGGCCTACAATAAAAAAAAAAACATATTTCCATGCAAAAAAATGTACCACTTTGAGCAGAGAAATATGGACATAATCAGACCGCTAGGGAGGTTAAAGCACAAAAAGGATCTAGTTGGGGCTTTTTTTACCTGTCACCTTGCCCATCTAGAGAAAAATGACAGTGTCTGTATAAAGCTCACTCCCAACCTGCTGCTTAATCCCTCACCACTACAGAGCTCAAGCCTAGTGGCCAATCACATGACATAATGTGCTCCCTCTGGGTACCAACACAATTCAACCCTGGTATTTTGGTGATGGCTGTGACAGAGTAAAGAGCAGCGGAGAAAGAGTGGAGAGGTGAGTATCAGTGGGTTGGGGAAGCAGTTTGCAGCTTGAATGGGCAAAGTGACAGTGGGGTTGATTTACTAAAACTGGAGAATGCAATATCTGGTGCAGCTGTGTATGGTATCCAATCAGCTTCTAACTTCAGCTTGTTCAATTAAGCTTTGACAATAAACCTGGAAGCTGACTGGTTTCTTTGCAGAGCTTCACCAGATTTTGCTCTCTCCAGTTTTAGTAAATAAACCCCAATGTCTCCTCTATTGTATGGAACATGCCCTTCATCTGCTAAGCTGTAAACTGCAGCAGCCTTTGGGGGTGTAAAGACTGTGGTTTTAGCCTGGATCTTAAAATCACTGGCTTTTAGCTGGACACCACTGAATTTAATGAATTTGAATTAGCATTATCCTAAGTAAACAATAAAAAGCTAAACTGAAAGGCCCCCAAGCTGTGTGCTGAGCTAATATCGATTAAAGGCAAAAGGGCTATATACTCTTCTAAATTTTGGAAAAAGGGACAAAAAGAATTAAAGGTCTTAAAGCCCATCTCCAGCCAAACCTTTTTTCTAATTTTGGGTACAGTAAGGTAGAGTAAATACTACCACTTATCGACATTCCTCAAATTGTGCTACAGATGTACACTGTGGTCCTCAAGGCCAAATATATGCCTAGTGTTATTCGAAAAAAAGCCATTGGTCATTACAATAGTGGCAAGCCATTTAAACTTTGTATTTTTTTTTTATATTGCTAACAATGATACAGTTTTGTATCTCCGGTATTAATAAGTTTTTATATCTGACATTTTGTAGAACTGTTTGGAAGAGATTGCAAAGGTGCTACATCACAGTTTTCAAATAGTTGGAATTCTTGCGGTTGCCACAGCCGGAATAACTGTAAGTACTTCATACACAACATACGGTATATGATCTTTGATTTAGAAATAAAAACATTTCTGGGCTCACAGGCCCTGCAGCTCTGCACAAGTGCAAACCAACTGCAACATAAATTCATTCCACCAGCTTGAGGGAATAAAAATAATGTATTTTTTATAGCAATGACAATGAAAAGAGATAGTAGCATGAACCAGTATTAAACAACCTTTGCCAATACGTATTGTAATATAAATGTCTTGGCAAGAAAATTCTATCAGTAATGTTTTTAAGATACATTTGAAGACTAAAGAAGAATCCAAACTAGGACACTATCATCTACTTTTAACATCACAGGAAAGTATTTATTAACATTAGTGGTAGCAGAGGAAATGCTAATAATGAAGTTGATTGTCCTGTTAAATAACGATATTATAACTGAGAATGTAGTGCTTTGGAGGATTTCCTAGAACTTTCTCTTTTGCAGTCCCTAAACTCTAAATCAAGCTGCACCACCTCAGACATGAGGCATATATCTAACTCTAACTTTTTTAACATGTTACACCCATATTTTGAGTGTAACATGTCACATGGTACAAATGTCTCCCACTTCCCCCAGCAAACTACAGAACTAAGCTAGAATTCTTCTTGGAATTCTTTGTAGTGGAGGTAAAAAGTGGGTGCCAATGGTGGAAGGGAATTCCACATCCTTACTGCTCTAAGAGTAAAGGACCCCTTACATGGTTTAAAGTCCAAAGCTGGATACACACCCTGAGTTTTTTCTTGTTCAATCAGTGGGCTGAATGTTAAAAACAAAACAAAAAAAAAAAAACCTCAGAGATTCCTGCATCCACACTAACGATGTAGATGTAGAGATCTTTCCCATTGCACTATTGTCTTCTAACTACAGGGTCCTCCCCCGTCTTCCTGTCAGATTACACTGATCAACGATGCAGCCATTGACAGATCAAATTCTGGTTTTCCAGCAGAACCGTTCGACAGAAGCTAGTCTAACTCTGGCTTCACTTGAACCTAGTGGGCTGCACATGGATTTATATTCAGCTAGTTCCTGCTAAAGCAGCCAAATTTTGATACATTATGTATATACAGTATATATGTATTATATGTATTTTTAATTCATTATTACCGAAATACAATCATTCTGATTTCCCATTTGTAGTCAGCTAGTCTGTCTTTTAGTGATGGAAACAAAATGTAAATCATTTTTGTGAGAGTTTGCCTGTGGGCAGTGTTCCTACAAGATGTTTAATGTTGTTATGTAACATTCATATGTGAGATACACAGATCACTGTTCTGTGATTTTCAAAGGCTTGCTACTTTCAGCGTATTCAATTTAATAACGCTGTATATTTTTACCAATGCTGTTCATTCATCCATAGCAACCTATATCTAAATAATACAAACAACTCAGATATTCTGATAATCCTGCATCATTAAAGTGGGACAGGAACATTTTTGAGATCTCAATTGTACTCTTCACATATTGTATTTGTATTACCTTACCCAAATGGCTGCAAACCTCCTCTGTGTTCAACAATTATCTATAAATAATAATAAAATAATAAATAAATGACAAGAGAAAAATGGCTACCAAGGTTCTTTAGTAACATCTATTTCCCCATCACTGGACAATGAAGGAGCAGCAGCACACCAGTGTGGTCATTCCTGTGCTTTCTTCTCTCCTGCAAGCCTGTAAATATGTTTGACTAATAATAAACACTGTGCAAGTGGCTAAAACTCTGAATGGGACTGATTGCTGTACCTTCCTTCCTCTTCCAGTGTGAATGCTGCTGTGTAGGTGTTACATAAAACTAATGAAAAGCTAGGTTAAATTTTTCATACTAGCTGTAAGTAAAAATTCCGAAGGCACACATGGCCTGGATTGTAGGTTGCTTTATAAATTATTTGCATGGAGTTTTGCTTTTATACAAATAATTGGTAAAAACAACATTGTAAAATTGCAATTTTGGTGGATGCAATAGTTTCATTTTTCAGGAACAGAACTTTTTCAGCAAGCTCAGAAAACATCTGTTGATCTTGCCAGCATTTTCTCTGAGCTGATCCGGAAGCACAAGTAATCTTATCTGCATTTCAAACTCTCTTCTGCAAACTACTAATTCCGTCCTCCTCACTTCATAGAGATAAATAGTACTAGTTGCAGACAATATAAAACAGGAGTTTACAGAGCTGACTTTTTACCAACCCTTTTAATATGTATATAGCTGTACATCACCAGATAGATTAGTTCTTTTTCGTTTAAAGCTTAGGCTAGCCTTAGATGAGTCAATTTATTTTTAACGAAAAAATCTAGCCTGATTTCCCCATCCACACACTCGAGATGGATGAGAGAATCTTCCCCACTGTGTCTTTGTGGTTTGATAGAGGAGAGACCTCCCTACTGACAGAATACACTGATCGAGCAGAAATTCTCCAGCATGGCAGTTGAACAGAAGTCATATTTCAGATCAACTTTTGTTCAACCACAGTGGCCCCACATGGATTGAAATTCGACTGGTCCCTGCTGAACCAGACGCATTTCAATCCATGTACTGTATGTCCAGTTTTAGTCTGGTCTTTCTTTGTGTTAGGCAACATTGGTCCAGGGTGACATAACTCCTGCACATGTGAAAGGGAGTTTATTCATCCTGGCATCTGGGGCATGCCAAGAATGTACAATTAGCTGTGCATATGTGGCATAGTGTACATTTAGGAAAAACTTTGGTGGAATGTAGAAAGAAAGGAGGGGAGGGGAAAAGTCGCCTTCTAAGTTTAGTATACAAAATGATTTTAATGAACTCCAGTTAAAAACACATACAGGAAGACAAACGGCCCGTAACACATAAATGAGGGTGCACTGCCAGAATCCATAGCCTACATGTCTTCTGGTCCTGAGATGCGATCGCTGTACGTGGAAGAGGAGCCTCAAGCCGCTGCAGCCGGACCCATAAGTTCCTGAAACCAGCTTGGATCGCACTCGTCAGACAGGTGTGACGTCATTGGCAGGGAACGCACAGCACCACAGGGAAACAAGGCTACGCGCTCAGAGCCCACAGCTCCTTCAAATGACCCGAGCATGAATTTAAGCTAAAATGCTGGCCTGAGGACTAACAGGCACGGCAAATCTAAATGGATGAGTTATCAATGAATAAAATGAACATATATATACACAATAAATAAAAAATAATGAAAAGAATTGATAAAAAATTATTACAATGGAAAAAATATTAGATTATATAATTATATAATATATATATATTCCTAATTTTATATAAGATATCAATTCATGAGTACCTATCGCATTTTGTATCTAATAATTATTAGATACAAAATGCGATAGGTACTCATGAATTGATATCTTATATAAAATTAGGAAATATATATATATATATATATATATTATATATATAATAAAATATATATATTTACACACACACACATAAGATATTAAATTACAAAAAAAAAAAAAAAAATATATATATATAGATATATATATATATATATATATATATATATATATCTCAGAGAAGTGAGTACACCTGTACTTATGCACACATATATGCATGCATACATAGACATACACACCATTAATTATAATGTGAATCATTGGTGTGCGAGAACACGTGTATAATAAATGAATAAGTAAAGGAACTTATACTTACGGTCCAAGTTGTGTATGTATATGAGCAAAAACCCTAGTGTGTGCACATACAGGAAACAGGGAGTGGGGGGGGGGAAGAACCATTTGGTATACACCTAAATATACACTTATGAATATGAAAAGAGACATGTATACATGTTTCTATCAGAAGTATGGAACAATCTAGTATTGTGAAGGCAATACTTAGTATAAAAAAAGATTCCCCCATAGACCATTATGGTCATTGTGACCTATGTAGCAAGACCTTAAGGGTCCCCTGTAAATATAATTATAAATGATACAGATGATTATGCAAGAATGTATTGAATCATAGCTATAATGACTGCTATACGTAATATCATAAAGTATAGGGCTTGAGATGGAATTATAACAGGGTGTGTATTTTTAACTCTTCGTTGAGGCCTCCCGAAGCAAGGGTACCTAGGTTGTAAATCTAGAAAGTCTCCCGTTGGCACAAACATTTAAAATGTTCTGCCACCGGGAGAGTGTAAGGGATGGATTCAATAACCCAAATAAACAGTCCAGAGGTGGATCTAGGAAGAATTTAGGGAAACTATGTTGGTCATCACCATCTTAAGTCAAACACTATGTTGTCATCACTGTCCTCAGTCACCATCCTCAATGAGGTGTCTGTGTTCCCCAAAACGCTTTCTAAGAGTTCTGATAGTTCTGCCTACATAAAATAAGCCGCAAGGGCAAGTAAGGCAGTATACCACATATTGTGATGAACAGTTTTGGAAATCGTGGATATTGTAAGTTTTACCTTATACTGTAAATTCTTTTTAACATATAGGCATGCGAGGCATAATTTTTTCTTACATTTGTACAGTCCCTTGAGATCTAGAAATGCAGCTTGGTATGTTTAAGTTGAGTATTCTGTCTACACAGCCTAATGAGGTAAGAATAGACCACTTGATAGAATGTTTTGGAGATATGGCCCCTTGTTGTGAACGGGATTAAAAAAATGGATCTAGGTTTGAGACTGGTGTGTATAAAATAGGGGTTGAAGTGGAACCATGTTGTGTCAGCCACCATGTAATGTCATCTAAATTCTCATTATAGAGTTCTTCTAAGTGTGCTAAGGCACCCATATCCATATCATCAAGGATTGTGGTATCCTCCAAACTGGATGTGGTAATGGTGTCATCTTCAGGTGCCTTGTTTTTAGCTGCATGGATGTTGTAAAAACCTGGTGAATGTTAGAGATTAACAGAAAAGACTTGAAAACTGTGAGAATCTTTAAATTATCTTCACAGGCAATTATATCTTCACACATATAATTAATGGTGTGTTTGTGTACCTATGCATGCATATATGTGTGAATATGTATATGTGTGTACATGTA